GTCGAGCCAAGTCACTGTAGGCAGGCCCTTACAGCAGAGCAGGAATCCTCCTCTGCACTGCCAAGATTACCTGCCAGTCAAGGCAAGAGGAACCCAGCTCTCATTCAGCAAGCTCATATTCGCCTTGGTCTCATCACAGGGCAAAATGTGAATTAGTCTTAAATAATAAAATAAAACATCAGGGGAGATTCATAGCAATACTTGTGAATAATCACTCAGGTTTTGTTTACCAGGTGCTGTCCCCTCCAGTTTCTCTTTCAATTCTCTGAGTTTAGAAGTCTCCTTCTCCAGTGGTTTCTTCAGATCTGCACTGCTCAGCTGAAAGACAAGATAAATATTCTATTATATCAGGAAACCTGAAGAACACCTGCTATTTAGAGTTTGACGCATAGTTATTTACCTTGCAGCTATAAGGATTGTGTGCTATGAAGGCAGCCAGCAGTTGGATGGAACTCTTAACCACATTTATAGATTTGTCCATCAGCCGTCCAACAGCAAGCTCCATCACCTCGCTATACCGACACAGGGGCAGCGCCTAAACACAGATGACTTATGTTACCAGGAGCAACAGCATTCTTTTACAAACACAATAGCTGATGAGCAAACCTACTTTGCTATTGACGATGCGTGTGTAGACCTGCAGTACACGTGTTCTGACATGAGAGTGCGAGTCATGCAGATGCTCCTGCAGTGTGTCAAAGAAACGGTCACGGTCAGCTCTACCGGACTCATCTAGCCCATCACCGCACAGGACCCTCACAAGGATCTCTCCCAGCACCTCACAGACAGCAACACGCATTGTGTGACTCTGGGAAAAAGAAATGAAAAAGGTTGGAAATTAAGAATTTCAGTGAAACAATCTGTTAAATCCTACAAAAACAGAAAAACCTCACTAAGAACTCTGCCCTCAGATTACCAAAGACAAAACTCATGGCTCACTGAACAGTAAAGAAAGCTGGGTGAACTTCTTGCCTTTTTTAACACACACACACACACTCAGCACACAAACACACACACAGACATAAGACACGCTGTCAGCGACAACCCAGAAATTACTCCACTGTGACTGCAGAGGAATAATTTGGGTCGAGCCAAGTCACTGTAGGCAGGCCCTTACAGCAGAGCAGGAATCCTCCTCTGCACTGCCAAGATTACCTGCCAGTCAAGGCAAGAGAAACCC